TCAGCCTTGAGATGAAGAGCACAGGGACAGAGCCCAAGCCCAGAGCTCAAGCCCCACGACCGACAAAAACAACAACAAAAAAAAAAAACAAAGAAAACCTTACAGACTTTCCTGTACTGGCTGGTTTGAACTATCATCTTCAGATGTTAGCCGCCTGAGTAACTAGGATTACTGGCTCCACACACTGATACCTGCCAACTTCCACCTCTACCTCTACCTCTTCCTCTTGGTTCTTCTTCCTCTACCCTCACCTCCCTCCTCCTTCCCACCATGCTAAAAATGTACAGAATACCACTGAATGAGACACTCGGCCCAAGGTTGCCATCTTCACTCAAATGAACTATAAAGCTGACTTTAATGGGTGAACTTGGTAATAAATTATCCCAGTCTTACAGACCTGGCCACTGGAACACAGAACAAATGATTGGCCAGAGACAAGATCACAAAACTTGAATCTTGGCCATACAAACATCTCAATCCAAATTCAATAGTGAACATGAGACTCAAATCCAGGCTGTCTCCTCACCAGACAGAGCCATGTTCTTAATCACACCTGTGAGTGTTGATTCCTTGGTACAGGAATATGATGGGATGACAAAGGCCACACACAAATGGAGTATTATTTGAGGGTGAGCTTTGCTAAAAGATAAAAGCCCCAGCTCTGGCATTTACTAACTTGTGACATCATAGACAAGTCATTTTAATTTTTTTGCCTCTGTTTCTACATCTGTAAAATGGAGATAATCAGAGCACCTTCCCTCATAGAACAGCAGGTCTCCAGCAAGGTGCAGGGGCTCCTGCCTGTAATCCTAACTACTCAGGAGGCTGAGATCAGAGGATTGAAGTTCAAGGCTAAAGAGCAGCAAAGTCTGTGAGACTCTCATCTCTAATTAATCACCAGAAAACCAAAAGTAGTACAGTGGTTCGAAGTGGTAGAGAACTAGCCTTAAGCAGAAGAGCTCAGGGTCAGTGCCCAGGCACTGAGTTTAAGCCTGATAACCAAAAAAAAAAAAAAAGAGCAGGCTGGGAGCTGGTGGCTCACGCCTGTAATCCTAGCTACTCAGGAGGCTGAGATCTGAGGATCACGGTTCAAAGCCAGCCCGGGGAAGGAAAGTTCATGAGACTCTTATCTCCAATAAACCACTAGAAAACCAGAAGTGGTGCTGTGGCTCAAGCGGGTAGAGTGCTCGCCTTAAGCTGAAGATCACAAGGACAGCGCCCAAGCCCAGAGTTCAAGCCCCACGACTGACAAAAAAAAAAAAAAGAGCAGGTTCCACTCATGAGTTTAAGATAGTATATTAAGTTCAAAGCCAGCCATGGCAACTAAATCTGAGAGATTAATCTCCAATTAACCTGCAAAAAGCCAGAAGTATAAGTGTGGCTCAAGTAATAGAGGACCAGTTCCAAGCAACCACCCACTGCCTTTGTTCCAACTTGGCACAGGCCCAGCACAAATGGTCCAACAACAGATATTTGGTGGTGAGAAACTGAATGAGTGAACTTTACACCTCCTGCCAACCTTTCTTTCCAGCCCCTCTCTGGCTGCAATGTTAATTATTCTCTCATTGTGTGAAAATAAGTATAGCATAAAACATGCTATATGAACCAAGTAGAAGTATATACTTCAGTGGCTTTAAGTACAGTCACATTTCAAGCAACCTCACTGATATCAACTTCTAGAACTTTCTCAGTATCCCAAACTGAAATTGGGTACCTATTAATTAGCAGCACCCATCCATGCCTTTTCCCAGCCTCTGGAAACCCACCATTCTACTTCCTGAGGTTGAGATGAGAGGATTGCAGTTCAAAGCCAGCCTGGGCAGGCAAGTCTGACACTCTTACCTCCAGTTAACAAGAAAAAAAAATCAAAAACATAAAACAGAAATAGAGATGGGGCTCATCTGGTAGAGCACCAATTGTGAGGGGGAAAAAACAATAAAAAATATGAGGTGGGGCTGGGGATTTAGCTCTTGGAGAAGCCTGTCCTGACAAGTACAAGGTCCTGAGTTCCATCCCCACCTCTGACATGACAACAACAATAACGACCACAAGTAGTACACAAAACCTATTTATGCCCAGAGGCAAGATAATCACTACCTCATCCTTCTTTACAAATATGAACTGGGTGCTGTTGGCTCATACCTGTAATCCTTGCTGCTGCTACTCAGGATGCTGGGGATCACAGTTCAAAGCCAGCCTGGGCACAAAACTCCATGAAATTCTATCTTCAGTAAATTACTCAGAAAAAGCTGGAAATAGAGCTGTGGCTCAGTGGTAGCCTTGAGAAAAAGACTCTCATGGATATTTCCCTAGTTCCTGAGTTCAAGCCCCAGCATCAACAACAACAAAATAGAATATGAGGTCCTGTGTTTAGGCAACTGCACAAGTACGTGTAGACACACAGACACAGAGCATAGTGCCAGCCCCAACCTGACCAACTAAATCCAAGTCTCTGGGGCTGCCTCCAGGTGGTTTGCATTTTAGCCAGCTAAGCCAGGTGCTGGTGGCCCACATCTGTTATCCTAGCTATTCAGGAGAGGCCAAGATCTGAAAATCATGGTTCAAACCAGTCTGGGCAGGAAAGTTCATGAGACTCTTATCTCCAATGAGCCACCTAAAAACCTAGAATTAGAGCTGTAGCTCAAGTGGTAGAACTGAGCAAAAAAGCCCAGTTTATAGTACCCAGGCCATGATTTCAAGCCACAGCTGGCACTATAAAGTACAGAAAGACCCACCAGTTAGTAAGCAAAAGAGCACAACTGCATTCACTCCAACACCAGTCTCTCCATGGCTCATATAGGTGGAAAAGAGAGAGTGTTTATTTGTGCCAGTGCTGGAGCTTGAAGTCTGGGTCTGGGTGCTCTCTCATAACCTTTTCTCTCTAGGCTGATGCTCTACTACTTTAGCCGCAACTCACTTCCAAGGGAATGAAAGTTAAATTAAAAAGCTGTACATGCCCAATAATTAGATAGCCTTGGGCACAATTCCAGGAAGGCCAATGGTAATCTAGCTCATGGTGGGGATCTTAAACAAGTTCAAGCCCCACAGAACCCTAGTTTCCTTATAGGTTTCTGGAATGAGAGTCCTACTAGCCCCTAGAATTGCCAGCCATAGCCCAGTACTCTTAAAGTCAACAAGAGTAACTTTGTGTTTCAGTTTTGTTTTATTTTGGGGACTGGTCCTAGGGCTTAAACTCAGGGCCTGGATCCTGTCCCTGAGCTTCTGTGCTCCTATCACTTGAGCCACAGATCCACTTTGTGGCTTTTTGGTAGTTAATTGGAGAGCAAAGTTTCAGACTTTTCTGCCAAGGCTGTTTTTGAATCATGAGCTCAGCTCTCAGCCTCCTGAGTAGCTAGGATTACAGGCATGAGCTACTGGTGCCCAGCTAACTAACTATATTCCTTTATTAACTAGCACTCTGGTAATCCATAAGGCCAGGGCCCACTGAGAGACCCTGGAGCTAGGCTCATACCTAGGACCCATCACCCTGAAGTGGGGGTGAGCTTCTCTAGAGGCTGCTGAACCTCCCCTGCTGCCAGCTCCATTCCTCCAGGATAAGGCCAGACCTGTTAATCATCCCTGCTGAGGAGAGCTTAACCCTGCCTGCAGGCCCTGGGCTAGTGTTAGCAGCCCTGGTTACCAGCTTTCCTCCAGTTCCCATATGAAGTTGGGAAAGAGGAGAGGTCTCAAAGAGAGATCCGGGCTAGGTGATCTGTGGCTCACCTCCTTTCCCCACTGCACATGCTACAGAGGCTCCCTCCACTCCCAGTTCCATTGTGGTTGTTAGGAAGCAACAGTTTCATTTAAGTCTGTCTTTCTGACTCTGACAACATGTATGAAATGCAGAGGGTCCAGCATATGCATACAACTCACACAATTCAAACACTGACAAGGGCAATTAACTGCTACAGGACGTACTTCTAGCTGCCAAGTTAACCTCAAGGTATTAACTAGAGCATTTGCTAATCTCCATTTGATTAGCCCTATGGCTAATCAACACACCAGAACAGCCAGAGACCAGCCAGAGACTGAGGAGAAAGGAAAAGCATCAACCTCAAAAATTCAGCCTCTTAGGCTGGAAAGGTGGCTCAGTGGTAGAGCGTTTGCCTTGCATGCATGAGGCCCTGGGTTCCATTCCTCAGCACCACATAAGCAAAAAGATAAAAGCCAGAAGTGGTGCTGTGGCTCATGTGGTAGAGTGCTAGCCTTGAGCTGAAGAGCTGAGGGACAGCACCCAGGCCCAGAGTTCAGGCCCCATGACAGGACCCCCCCCAACAAAAAAAAATTCAGCCTCTTCCTTTGAGGCCAGCCAACAGTCAGTCAAGTCAGATCCTGATACACAAATTACCCACTTCTTATGGGACCAGGAAAAATCCCATAAGCAAATCTGAAATGCCCTACTATAGGAAGCAATTTAAGTATCCATAGACTTGCTAGGAGATAAGGGAGTTGGAATGATGTGAGGGAGCAGGCAAAGCCAGGTGCCAATGGTTCACACATGCCATCCTAGCTACTCAGGAGGCTGAAATATGAGAATCCTTGTTCTAAGCCAGTGAAATCTGTACGACTTATCTCCAATGAACCACCAAAAAGCCAGAAGTGGAGCTGTGGATCAGGCGGCAGAGCACAGGCCATGAGTGAAAAACACTAAAGGACAGCACCCAGGCCCTGAATTCAAGTCCCAGGATCTGAACACATGAACACACACGAACACACACACACACACAGAGAAGAGAGAGAGAGAAATGCAAATTTAGCCTAATGCATGTACACAGGTACAGGTACATGATTAAGTTTCAAAAAGGCAATAACAAAAATGATCACAGTTTGGAATGGAAAAAATACCAAGTCCCGTCAATTCAGAGGAGAGGAGGAAGGCATGTGGCATTCTACCCTCAAGGAATTGTGCTTTGGGACATTTTGGGGGATCCTTCCACCAGGACACCTCCATACTCCTGGAGAGTTAAAGGTGGCAAGTTCCTCAAGAACCAGAAACTCACTTTCACCCTATCCAAGGCCTGAAGCTCCAAGAGGATCTCTGCACTCACTCCCAAGGAATACACAGGATCTGAGAAAAAAATAGGAATGGGGAAAGCCAAATAGGGAGAGGGCAGCAGGGAGGCCCAGGGGCCCCTGTGCAAATGGTAAAATGAAAAAGGGACTGACCTGAGCAGAAACAACAGGATCAGATGAGGTGGGGGGGATGAGGGAGGAGAGCAGAGATGAGGAGGGAACCAGTCCTACAGAAGGCATCACACCCTGGGACACAGGGTTCTCCCCAGAAAGAGAACATTGGATGAGGTCAGGGGAAGGGGACGAGAGAGGGCAACAGAAAGGAGGACTGACTGTAAAGCATGGAAATTTGAAATAAGAGTTCCAGACTGGGGCACCAAGGGCCCTGGGTTCTAATTCTGATTCAATTGAGTGGACACATTTTCACCCTCAATTTGCCCCATCTGGGGAAAAAAAGCGGGGAAAGTGCAGATGTTCCTCCTGCTGCCTCTGAGGACTCCGACAGGAGGAGAAGGAGCAAGAAGGGGCAGCAGAAAAGTATTTGGAGAAGGGGGAAGCAGCATTCCATGCCATACCGGACCGAGGCACTCACCTGCCCGCAGCTAGAACCAGCACTTTTTCTGAACCCCCACAGGTGCCACCCAGCTGCCTCTCACGGTCCAAAGCCCACAGCCCCACATTGGGCAGGAAGACCAGGGCCACCAATACCACCGCCTGAAAAAGCCCCTTCAGAGCCCGGCAGCCCTGCTCCGCACTAGCTATTTTGTGAGCTATCCCTGAAGCCACATTCTGGAATATGAAATACTGGAGTCTTTATTACACAGTTAACAGGCTGCAGGCTGCCCGTTGTTACCAAGGCCCACAGCCCCTCAAATACACATAACACAGCTAGCAAACATGCCAAAGAAGGAAGAAATAAAAACAATACCAACAAGGCAATTCAGCTTCCATGGAGATCTGAATTACCATGGCATGATGACCAAAGATGAGACAGGACCCAGCACTCAACTAGGGAGACACACGTGGCAAGACTTAAGCTGGTCTGGGCCCCACGACCAACCCACCCCCCCCAACAAAAAAAAACAAAAAACAAAAAACCAGAAAGTAGAGAATATCCATGTTAGTAACATTTTAAAGTTGCAAATGCCATAAAAGTGCACAAAAATAGGACCAACATGTTCCTATAAGGTATTTTAAGGAATGTTTATGCCTTATTAACTTCAATTTCTAAGAGGAATTTCCTAAGTGAATTATTACTTTTTTAAGAAGATTGTGGCAAATGGGTAATACTAGCTAAATCTTCAGGATATATAACATCTGCAAAGCATACAGCCTTGAGCAATATATATTTTCTCAAGGTTTCTTCTACAATTTTCTTAGAAGGCCAAAGGTCTCTTCAACACCCTGAACTGCCAGGAAGTACCAACATGTTAGAGCTAGCATCAGCAAATCCACAGATGGGGCACTGAAGGTAAGTATGACAGATTACATACTATAAATAATTGTGGAAAGAGGCTGAATAAATCATTGAGAATTGGATTAGGGATTAGTACCTAGACTGATACTTTCAGTTGTGATAGTTTTCCTTCTACCCTAAACCATATCCTCCTGTGCCCTCTGATAACTATGCTCTGGCTTATTCCTCAGCTCAGCTCACCTTCCCTCCTGAAAGTTGGTCTAAACCTTTCAAAAGCGTCAAGTGATTGCTCCTTTCAAAAACATCAAGTGATTGCTTCAAGAAGTAGAACCAATTATTGCTTAAGGGAAGGAAAGCTAAAAACATCTTCACCTTCCTGTGCTTTTCTGCCTCTGTTCTTTAGGAGGGAGATTTCTATTTGTAGGGTGCCCTCCTTGCTAGGCTTCATTCCTGAAACTACAGGACCAGCACACACTACTCCAATATCCCATGTAGACCTTTCTCTAAAAACAAAGTCACATACAAACATGAGTAAACAAGCCAGAAGTGCTAAGAAGGCTAACAAACAGAAGCAGAGTAAAAGTGCCTCTCAGATAAACAACACAGAACCCCAAAATAGAACTGCAATATAAGAAGATTCAAGGCACACACTTTACAATTTTACTGCAATTGTTACCATGCTCATGTTACAGCAGGGCAAAGTGAATTAAAGTCACATGGGTTAACAACAAAATCTCCAGGTCATAATAAATAATAAACATCAAGTTCCAGGGTCTCCTAGTCTGGAGAAACACCCAAATTGCTCTTGGAGCTTCAGGAGCCAGATTCTGGTGTCTAGAAGCACACAGGCTAATGGCAGCACAAGTTCATGACTCCCAAACAAATCATCAACCCCAGACTGGAGGAACACCTGCAAGGTAGAACCACCGGGTCCTGTGCCCAACTTGCAGTTAGTGCCTGACATCGGATCTGTAGCTTGAGATCCCTTACAGTTACAACTCCCAAAGTCCACTGAAGAGAGGCTGAGTGCCTGCCTTGGGACTTTCACCTACTGAATGCAAAACTGCACTTCAGAGCACTTCCAACAGCAATGCAAAGAGCCAGGAACCACAATTTATAAATGGAAAACACCAATCATGGGTGGGGAGGCGCACATGCAGAAGGATCTACACACACACACACACACACACACACATATTCAAAGTATCTAGGTGCAATTGAGATTATAATTCCCACAAAGTGATGAGCCATCCTTGAGGAAGTAGACTCCTTGCAGAACTTGGACCAATGCTTGACCCTAGGCTTGCTTAGATGCATGGGGACCTTCCTCTCCCAACTGTAAATTGAGTTTCTTCTTGAAAAATCAGTTTGCTTCCTGAAAAATTGCAAGACCAAACAGAGAAAGGAAATGTTTGGGGAGCATTAAATGAGTTGGCATTTTGTCGCGACCGCCTCGACCCGCAAGGATGACGCGACAACAGGTCCTTCTTTCAGACGGTTTATTCAGGACCTTGTTTACAGCTTCTTTTCTCCTACTTCTCTCCTGCCCGCTTCTTCCTTCTTCTTCCTTCTTCCCCTCGTTTCTTCTTCCCATCCGCCCCCGCGCTCCGGTTATAAGCCTCCTGAATGGCCAATCCTGAAGCGCCACGTGGCATATACTGATAGGGCTGCAAACACGGAAGCAAACTAGGAGCCAAGTCATAGCCATATAAGGAGTTGTTTTTTACAGAGAGCACTCGTCACGAGGAAGACAGAAGGCGGAAGCCCGCGCCATCTTAGGTCGCAGCCGCACCACGCGGCCCTGCCATTTTTGCTTTTGCAGCCGTCTTTGGTCGCGGCTCCCGCAGCTCTCCACAGAAAAGATAGTGTCCCCAATTTCAAGCCACAGGAACAACAACAAGAAGAAAAGAGGAGGAAAAAAAAACCTTAAAGGAAAGGAAAAATTTGGTAAGACTCTTTTTTTTTTTTTTTGTCGGTCGTGGGGCTTGAACTCTGGGCCTGGCGCTGTCCCTCAGCTCTTCAGCTCAAGGCGAGCACTCTACCACTTGAGCTACAGCGCCACTTCCGGAAAGGAAAAATTTGGAAACAGCCAAAAACTCCTTAAAGTTTCATATATGGAATTGGGGTGTTTCTGGGAAATTCTTAGATTTTTGAAAAATCTACATTGGTGTAAGATATATGCTGCATATCTACCTAGCAATCCTGCTACTTTATTGCTGTGTATATTTGAGAGCACTGAAAATGACCCAAGAATCAGTATAGTGTCACTGAATACCTTATGTATAGTGAGCAGGGAGCTATTAAAAGAGGTAAAGAAGGACATAATTTACATTCAACCGAACTTATCTGTTAAACAAAAACATAACCAAAAAGTCTTACAACCCCAATTATAATGATAGAACTAAGAATGAAAAAGCCATCTATTCTCATGATCCCAATGCAATTTCCACTTTTCAGTAGGTCTAACAATGATTCAGGAGGAACACAGTGCTTTTTCATGAAAACAAAACCTTACCTATGCTCCCACAGGTGGGAGAGAGAAAAGTCCATAGGCAACCATAGAATCTTGGGACCTAGGGTCTAGCACTGGTGGAACCCCACTTCCTGCAGAGTGGCACAGTGCATTATGGGAATTGTAGTTTCCCTTGCAGCACAGGTGCTCTGAAAGTGCTTAGTTTTTTTTTTTTTTTTTTTTTTTTAAGGAGCAATGATCCTTGTGCGCATGTGCCAACCCAAGCCCTGTGGGTATTTTCATCCTGCAAATTCCAGTTCCTTTCCCGTTGCCTTGCTGCCGGAAGTTTTCTCTTCAGTGGAGCTTGGGAGCTATAATTTGAAGGCATCTCAGGCTGCAGAACCAACTGCAGGTAGGAACTTGGAGCTGGATGCGGAACCCAAGAAGGAGTCTATCCTCCACATGTTCCTCCAGTATGGGGCTGATGATTTGTTCAGGGTTCAAGAGTTTGGGCTGCCACAGCCCGTGTGACTCCAGGTGCCAGACACTGGCTCGCAAACTTCTGACGACAAATTGAGTGGCTCTCCAGAATAGGAAAAAGAGGGAACTGTGCACTTATATTTCCATGACTATGAAACACTGACGTTAACCATGTGACTTTATTAACTTTGCGCAGGTATAAGATGACCATGGTAACAATTGTAGTCAAATTGTGAAGGGTGTGCCTGCTTTGTCTCCATTTATATTGCAGTTGTATTTTGGGATTCTGTGTTGTTTCTCCTACAGGTGTCTCTGTTCTACTCCTTCCTTGTTAGATTCCTCAGCACTCCTGCCTTTAGTTCACACGTGTTTGTACAAGACCTTTCGCAGAAAGGCAAAGGAGGGGAAAATGTTTTCAGCTTCCTTGCCCTAAACAAAGATTGGTTCTACTTCCTAGAGCACAAGACTCAGGTGGTACTTATTCCTCTAAACAGTCCCAATCAATTGGTGCTGTGGGAAGGTTTACACTAACTAGTAGGAGGTGTTTTCAGCTTCCTTGCCCTAAACAAAGATTGGTTCTACTTCCTAGAGCACAAGACTCAGGTGGTACTTATTCCTCTAAACAGTCCCAATAAAATGCCTTTTTTGTGTGTGCCAGTTCTGGTTCTTGGGCTGAAGCACTAGGCACTGACCCTGAGCTTCTTATGTTCCAGCCTAATGTTCTACCACAGAAGCCACATCTCCACATCTAGATATATATAGTAGTTTATTGGAGATCAGAGTCTCTTAGACTTTCCTGTCCTAGCTGTCTCTAATCTGTGGTGCTTGGATCTCAGATTTCTGAGTAGCTAAAACTACAACAATGAGCCACCAGAGCCCAGTTACAAAATAAATTCTTTTAAATATAGATTATATTTGTAATAAAAATAATATGAAACAGAAGACTTTAAATTTTAAGGAAGATTGTCCAAATCCCAAAATAAAAAGAAAATACCCCACCCTGAAATTTTCGACACTCCTGGTTTGAAGTATTTGAATATGGATAATTAATGTATAAAAATTTCTTTGTAAGTTTTTAAAGTAAGAAAACATTCTTGTGATATGGAGCAATCCAATAAGAATGTGCAAATGTTGCTTTTAAATGATTCATATTGTTTCTTAGCACAAATGACCTAACTGAAGTTTACAGAGTAGGTTTTCATTTTTCATACATATCACTGTAAACTTTGTTATTTTCTATTGAGTTTCTATGCCACGTAATTGTGTAAAAAAAAAAACAAAACTCTGGGTTTTAGCATTTCCTGTGTAACAAGCCAAACAATAAATATAAGCAAAGGCATATAGGTATTTAATTTATTCTTTATAGGTATTTATTTTTTTATTTGTATTAGTCTATATTTTGGGGTGTCCTCAACTTGGAATTTTGTGTATTATTTGTGC